CTGCTGAGCAGGCAACCGATAACTTCAGGTTTGCTCAAAGTTCCCAAGTTCCACTGTGTTAGATAGGCAAACTCAATTCTGGCCGACTCAGTGTGGCTGACTGAAACTAGGCTGAAGTATATAACCACTGTCCTAACTTTATGCCTGCTAAGTGTTGCAACTCTACTTGTTGTCTGCTTAGGAAAGCTCTGTATGTGTCAGCATCATCTCGTTCTATTAACTGTAAATACTTTTTTATGTAATTCTGATTTAAGAGTTTCTGTGAAAAACCCTCTCCTGCACTCACCTTTTCCATGTCAGTTAGATGGGTTTACTGTGAAGTATTGAAGAAAAAAGTGTGTTTCTTAGCCATTTTATAACTTCTGAAAAATAAATGGACTTAACTGACAAATGATAGGAAATAAAATAGCTCCACTGTAATCAGTGTTGAAAACAGTTTGTTCATTTGACATGGTTATTGTTTTGCATCATGAAATTGCAGAAAATGTAATTTATTTTTTTTGCAACTGTGTATGGTAGAAATCTGTATCATAAAATGCAGTTATTTCCAGAAACAAAGTAAAGAAAGGCTGAGTGTATTTTAAGTATTTGCAGGTGTGTTTTGGTAGAAAAGATGAATCAAGTACAAAGCTTCCATAATTTTAAGGGGTTTTTTAGATAACTGCTTAAACTAAAATACATTATTTAAAAAAAATTTGACAGCATTTTAGATTTTTAGTGAATTGAAAGATCTCCAGTTAAGTATCAGTGTGGGATTTCCTTAAATGTTTTCTTGATTACATGTTTCAAAATCTCTCTGCAGGCCTCCTGCTAGTGTGAAAAGAATTTCATCAGTGTTACATCCATCTTTCCCTGTGAACAAACAGAGAGAAAAAGAAATCAAAAGGTCATTTAGATCTGATTCTCCAGTCCCTGCCATTCCTGCAAATTCTTTCCAGCTTGAGTCTGACTTCAGAAAGTTGAAAGACTGCCCAGAAAATATGTACTTGTACCTGAAGGTATGAAATGTAATGTTGATTGACAGTACTTGGACAGGTTCTTCAACTGACATTGAAGAAAGAGCACAAACTTAGGTGGAAAGGGTGGCTATGTTTAGAGTGTCTTAACAGTGTACCAGAGTCCCTTTCTTTAATTGCCTTCACATAACACAGTAGTTTGATCCACATTTGAGTATTTCCCCTGTTGTGTCTGACTTTTCACTTACCTTACTTTGAGTACAGTCTCTGCATAATCTGTCTCGTCTTTCAAACATAGGCCCTGATTGAGTAAAGACTTAAATACGTTAGTAACCGTGTTAAATTCTTTATTTTTGAAATGAATGCTTCTAGGGTAATTAGACATAGCAACATTCTTATCTCTTTAAACTGATCAAATGCTTGAAATACATCAATCTATGTGTGTACTTCCGCTTATATGTATTTTGCAAAAAATTGCTTAGAATTCTTTTAAAAGTAGTTAGCAGTCATCATCACTAAAAACCAACCAGCCAAAACCAAAAATTAATGTTCAACATCAGGTAGCGCAAGTTATTTGGGTTTTTTTCTGGGTTTTTTTTGCTTTTATGCACTTCATCATTGTCCAAGACATCCTAAAAGCTCATTCCTAATTTTCATGACTCAGCTGTATTTTTAGGCCTAAAAATAACACTTTTTAATTTTTTCCAAAGCAAATAGAACCTTCGCTTTATCCAAAACTGTTCCAGAAATCCTTAGATCCAGACTTGTTTAACCAGATACTGAAAATTCTACATGATTTCTACATTGAGTAAGTTTAATTCCTATGTTGTTTTACGTTACTTATTGCTGTTCTGGTTTTTTGCCCCCCCTTTTTTTTCTTCCTAGCCTCACCCTTGAGCTTACAAAATTATTTCCAGTATGCAGCCTTACATGAACATGATGCAGTAATTATAATAATTCAGTTGTTCTTTCTTAAGAAATGAAACATACCTTGAAAAATCAGATAGAAAAGAGGTAAAGAAATAGCCTTTACTGTATGTTGTTGAATTCAGTTCTGCTGAATAGCATCAGAAACTGAATATTAGACTGTATGAAATGCTTTTTGTTCATATTACTGTGTATGTTCTGTTATCACATAGTAGGTTTCTATATTAACTTTATGAAGCTGAGAACTGCAGAGGGTTTCATTTTTGTGCAGTGCTTGGTGTGATTCATTCCAACTTTTGTTTTTAATTACCTGCTACCATTTTACAGTATCCTGTAGTAAATGTGCTGATAAGATGGGACCTGACAATTATTTTAGAAATTTCTATCCATGGAACCATTTGAGTCTTAAAGTTCATTTTGCCTGTCAGAGGCAGTGTACCACTTCTCTGAATTAACTGTCTGAGAGCACACACTCAGAATGTTTTTAGGGTGCTGTTCTGTGGAGAAAAGCAAATGTAGATCAATGTTATCATTTCCCTTGATTTTCTTAAAAGTAAATACCTGTCATGTGGGTGAAACATGACATCTTAAGAGATATGATCCAGCATTTGGTAGTATGACATATAAAGGCTAGGAAGTTGAAATTGTTTGCAGTAAGGTAAAATACATTTCTTCTGGAGGGAGAGAGGACAAGTTATGAAAGAAAAATACTATTTGTTTTTAGTATTCTTAACAAAGATAGTGCCTGTTTACTGTTGACCAGAAGAATGTAAAACGAACACAATCTGGGTATTTTCTGTATGGATAAAAACGATGGCAACTGTAATGTGGTGCTTTTTACTGAGCTTCCTACGACCACAGGTGCTACTTCCCCTCACACACCCCAAAAATGGTGACTTTACAGCAAGGTGTAAGCATTAAATCATATAATAGCTTTTCTGTTCATGAACAGCAGTCAGTTTGCATCAGTCTAGTTTTTTATATTTCTTCACTCTTGCTCTGAATCAGAATGATAGTTGTATAAACATTTCTAGATGTTGACTTCTTGCTTCGTGGGTGGAAGGATGAACAGGAAAGACGAGTAAGGCAGAAAATATGAGACATAGAGAAAAGAATTCCATTAGTCCATTAATTTCTTGTTCCTGAAGTAGCTTGCAGCTACTGAATCTTTCTAATCAACAGTAGTTATTTTTATATTTCTAACAATCTTCTTCAGGAAAGAGGGGCCATCACTCATCCTTGAAATCCTCCAGAGGCTATCTGAATTAAAAAGATTTGATATGGCAGTAATGTTTATGTCAGGCTCGGAGAAAAAAAGTAAGTAATTCGGTAGTGTCTTTTTAAACATTTGTGATACTGTAGAATCTAGCAAGAAATATGTAAATTTAATGCTATTCTTGTTGTTTATTCCATGTAATAATCCATTAAGGTTAGTTAGTTGTCTAGCTTTTTGATTATTTAGAAGTTAATATGAATGCCATGTAATTTTTCTTAATCTTTTGATTCCTTATTAATTGTCAAGACTTAAAAAATAAATCTTGGTTTAAAAACTAATCTCTTGATTTTATCAGTAATACCACTGCATTTTAGTCTGATAAAGTAAGCTTCTGTAGCATTTCAGTTTGTAGCTGGTAGTGTTACAAATTTATGAATTTGTATGAAATCTTGCATCTGAGATGCAAGGTATCCAAATTACACAGTTTCCACAGTTTACGACCACTTCTTGACAATCCTGACTTTACTAAAGTTGGCAAAAATAAGTGGTTTTTGTCTCAAGCATTTTCTGTATGTAGCACACCAGACAGACTATGGAACAGTGAGACACTTACAAGAAAAATATTTCTCTGGGACCAGATAATGTTAAGTTTATTATCTACAGCTGAGTTGCACTAATAACTATTATATTTTCAAAATTTTGATGTGTGAATGTCCTTAAAATAAAATGACTTGTTTGACTTACTGAAGTGCAAGTAAATTCCTCATGAATTGCATTCACGCCTTTAACCTGATGTAAACTTTATCTGCCATCTGGCATTAACTTTTGTCTTCTGCATTTAATGGCATAGGGCCAAGATAGTGAACAAAATAAAAACTGTCTGTTAGGATTATATACCTGTTCAAGGAAATGTTATTGGGCAGCTCATGGGCATCAAAACAAAGGGAGAGCTTCCCTTTGCTGCTTTTTTTTCATCCTCTCAGTAGTTCTAAAAATTTACTTGTATTTCAGCTATATAATCCTACCCTTACTCTCACTGAGGAAAGAATGAGACTAATTTACCTTAAGAGTGTGAATAACAAAAATAACAATTTATGTTGGTATTTTCTTTTACAGTTACACAAGTATTGTTCAATCATGTGAACCACATGGGACTGAAAGATAATTCTGTTGAAGAATTGGAGAAGAAATACGGCATTTCCTCTCGGTGAGATGACTAATGTGTAAATTTCTGTTTCCACACTTCTTATATGTGGAAATCAGCTGGAGAAACCTATAAAGACTGGAAGTTTGTTGCTTTTGTATATGTAATGAAACTCCTAAACTTGGTTTAGCCAAATGGCAAGTGCCTGAAGAGATATTTATCTAGTTCTGCAGGTACGTTTGCTTTCCAGCACCTGATCTACATTGTCTTCAGTGGAATCTGTTTGTCTAAAAAACAATTGGGCAGATTGGCATTCAGGATTGGGACTGTAGGTAGAGATCTTCATTAAAAGGAAAAAAAAAATATTTATAAACATGTCTTTGGTAAGAATCAAATGGTGTATATTACAAATGTGCATTTTTTTATTTTAGAAAATAAACTGAATGTTGAATTGAAGATGTTAAATTTTTAAGTTTTTTTTTTTTTTTTAATTGAGATGCCTAAATTATTCTTCTCTAAGGATACACCACATCAGAACATGTAATGTACAAAGCAAACCTGAGATATGTTTAAAAAAATTCCAGAGTTCTTGTACTTGAGTTTACCCAAAAGCTGAGTTTTAGCACTGACAGCTGAGATATTCCTGTGAACCTCAGTTGTGATTGCTGAATAGAAGGAAGGCAGATACTGCAGAATTAAGCTAAAAGTATAGGGAAAAGTACTTTTCGTCATCTTCAGGGAGTACTTTTAAAATATTCTCATTAAACTTATATTTTGAGTCAGTTGTTCCTAACATTGTAAAGCCTTTAAGAAGCATTAGGAAGCTAAGCAGAATACCTTTCCAGTATGAAGAAGACAAAGACATGAAATCACCTGAAATTCTTAGATGAGATAAGAAATAGCATTAGACATAATAATAAACTTGTACTGTTCACATGACCAGAAGAAGGAAATACAGCACTTGTCAAGTATACTGCAAGATTTAACTGTGGTATCCAAGTAGTGGCTTCTAAAAATTTGCTTGTGTCTCTAGGCTTGGCCACTGTCTTTTTCATCCTGCTGATACTAACATTCTGTCAACTTGTTTTCATCCTCATTCAGCCCTTGTGCTTTACTGATGCTTCTCTGGCTACGGAAGCCTTCCACATTAATGCTTTTGTTTTGGTAGTTCTGCTCTTTTTCAGACAAATGGTTAAACAGGTATAGCATTCAAAAAGACTTCAAACTTCCAAGACAGATTAACAGGTAAAGGTATGAATGTTACCTTCTGTGTAATCAGTATTAGAAAACTAATTTTAAAACATTTGCAGCTGTGTAATGTCCTAGTTCAGATATAATCCAGTTAAGAAAAAAAACAAAAAACTGAGCCACATCCTTGGCCTGGGTACCAACTGACATGAATGGAGCGCTAGATCCCTAAGATAGCTTCGCCGTGGAACACAGCACTACATTTATAGCCAGTGTTATTGGGGAAATGGAAGACCCTTTACATAACACTACGTGCAGCTTACCTACAATATGAACTGTTGTTACTAGTTGTGTCCCAAATTACTGGATAACTGTCTATTTCTTCCCCTTCTTGTAAAGCATTTCTGATAACCTATCAGGGATACTGCTGTAACTAATAGAAGTGGGGGGGCGGGGGGGGGGGGGGAGTGATTACCGAAGTAATTTTATATACCTTTGTAGATAAAGCATACTTTCTTCTGCATTGTTATCAGTCGTTCAGTGTAGAGCAGAGGTTATACTAATAGAGCATTTGGTATGTTCTCAGAAGCTGCTGTTTGAAGGCTGTTGGATGAAAACAGGTGATTGTAGTATGGATTCTTGACAGTTAAAGCAACATGACAGCAGTAGGATTTGAAACTGTAGGCCAGGAGTCACCTACAACTCCACTTCACCAAGTCTGCTATGCTTTTAGTGAGAGTAAGCTGCTATGTTTGATTTCTAGTCCCACTTCTGCCTTTATGGAGACTTCTGTTCAGGATTTGTACGTGGTAAGGAAGGCTGATTGAAGAGAAGCTATACAAGCATGTAGAATTTGGTGGGGTGGGAGGGTGGACCTGATTCATGGTGCTATTGAAATTAGGCCACCAAGATTTATATTGCAAGTGGTATGCTGCTGTAGCCTTTTGCTTGTATTTCTAAATGCAACATCTGATGGTGACTTGCTAAGTCCCTGAGGTTGCTTTGCACTGCGTAGAAAACAATGCAAGATGGAGAGCAGAACGTAGTCATTCAGAGAACTGCCAGCTTTGCTTGCTCCAGGAGATGGCAGTGTTTTTCCCTTCTAAATTGTTAAAGATTTCCAAATCTCTGAATTGAGTTTAATAAAACATGGAGAAGATTCATAGATCTGAAGTAAGTCAAGAATTCTTTTTTGGGGAGAGAAAAGGATTTCTTTTTTTAAATCCTGCACCCTCTCTATGGTTATATCCCTATTGTGTCAGGGAAAAAAGTCTGAGGTAAGTAGTGTGGGGCAGTTAAACAGTGTGGAATACTTCATAGCCCTTTGCTACGTTGTTCGTCTGAGGTCATGTTTACTGCAGTGACTGATTCAGACTTGAGTTTTGCATGATTCCTTTACTTATCACTATTAAATGTTAGATTTTTTTTATAGATAACTTCTTAACTTGTCAAGGTATTTTTTTAATTTGAATATTGTCCTCCGGTAGATCTGGGAGACATTCAAACTCTATATTGTCTATGGATTTAATCATCTAGATTGTTAGAGTATCAATGGAACTGATCCTTGGGCATGCTGCTGCAGATACCACAGCTTTCTATTTTGACAGTAGACTATGACTTTATTTTTTTCCTTTATGATAACTCCAGCTAGCTCTGCATTCATCTAAGCGGTGTTTGTCCTGCTTGTAAAATGTCCTGTAATAGTCAGATGTCAAGATAAAGATACTTCATCTACTGCTTTTTCATTACACTACTATGGAAGAAAGGATTTTAATGTAGCTTTTTTTTTGGCTGATTTGTGTCATTTACTTTGGAAAGCATAATTTTTAGTTTGAGTATTTGTTCCAAAATATTTTTTAGAATTATAAATTAATGGACCAGAGTCAAAACCTTTTTGCTGCTTCTCTTCTTCTCTGTCTTTCTGTTTAAAAATAGGCATTTCGGCTTTCCAGTTCTCAAATGTAACTACTGCTACTACTGGTTTTGAGGCTACATTTTTAGTGTATCGTATTAATATAAGAATAACATATCCATATCCATAGAGAAGTCTTTGGGGCCCAGAGAACCTGTGAACATTAAACTTGGGGAAACTTGTTAGAACAGGTTCTAACCTGTTCTTTTATTTTACTAGACAGAGATCTTTCTTTGTCAATGATGTGAATACAGTTGCTTGTAGTTGCCATCACCAGGGAATACTGAAGTGAAACAGCCATCAAACAGTTCATTTCTAATGTCATCAGCTGTCAGTTGTTATTCTTCCATCTTGCATAACTAACACTTTCTTTTTTTTTCTTTTAATGCAGGTGCACTTACAGGAGCAGTCTCTTCTTTCTCTTGTCAACTGCTGCTTATTTTGTTTTCCTCTTTTAGTTCTAATATGGTCCCTTTGTTCTCTTGTTGCTCCTACTTAATTATGAAAAATGTCCTTGTTTCCATTACTTACATGCTTTTCTGAGATTATTGAAGAGCTCTTTGTTGGTCAGATTGGTCCTTTATTACACTTGTTATCCTTTCTTTCCATTGGCGTAATTTGAGCTTGTTTTCTTGATATTATTTATTTGGAAACTGCTGGTTTTCCTATACCCTTTTTTGCCCTTAGATTTTCCTCCCATGAAACCTTACTGGTGTTAGAGCAGTGTTAGAACAGAGGAAGTAGAGAGAAGACTAAGTGCATGAAACTTTCAAAGTTGCATTTAGGTGCTGTGATGTCTTGGGAGCTTGAGACTGCTCTACCGTCAGTATTAGAAACTAAGAATTTGGGGCATTAAATATACATACTCTTTTCCCTCCTCCACCCATATCCCCTTTGATGGCAACACTAAGCCAAGGAGGCTATTCCAGTCTTCTGCTGCTAGGTTTTTTTTTATTGTTTTCTTTCAGTAAATTAGTGCTTATCTAGGAATAATAAGAGGGGCCCTCATAAAAGCATAGGGCTGCACATTTGTTGACTCTCACCTCTCCCTGCGTAAGGTTCACCCTGTAGCTTTTCTTTTTTAGCAGCTGTCAATCACACTGTATTTTTCTTTCTTGCATCTTACAGAGCCCATGGTGTTCTGAACTGCGTTACATCACTGCTGCCTTTGCATGATGCTTTAGTAACTTCTTTAAGGTGTATTTCTAAGGGTTGTATTATTCAGAGAACAAAATTACCCTGCAAAATCCTTTGTTATTGATTATCCTTTGGAGAGCAGGAATCTAACCAGACTTCTCAGGAACATATCCTAAGTTTGAATCTAGTCTTCATTTAATACTACCAGATGCAAGTCTGCCAGAGGACCTGGAATTGCATTAGTGATTAATCTGACCTTATCTGCTTTACTTTTTAGGGTTAGGGAAAATACAGCTTCTGGAATAAAAGGTGAAATTGTATTTTTCACCGTTGGCACATCTCTCTTTAGTATGTAGTTCAGCCTGACTGCAGAAGTGAAGTTGTGTAGGTTTTATGCATCTGTGTTCCTTTTTCTTTGTACTATTTCACATGAACCGTTTGTATAAGATCTTTCTTGTTACATCTGTTACCATGTGCCAGTTCCCTCTCTCTGAATTTCAGTCTTCCTTTTCACTGTGCCCTTTCTGTTTTCCATCAGGTTCAGAACATTGTATTTTTCACTGCCTTCCCTCTCCTGTCATTAGTTGTGAGCAGCTCAGTCTCTAAAAGTGTCTTTTGAAGGCTCCTTTTAGTTTTCTAAAAATTTCTGCTCAAGGCTCTTTGTTTCTGAAAGCTTCTTCCAGCAGCTCTGCTTCTTCGGACTCCATTTTTCAGGAATATTCCACTCTAGTGTCTGGCTTTATAAACTGAAGCAAGCACAGAATAGAAACCAAGGAATTTTTTTTTTTTCCCTCCTTGCTTCCTATTCCAGCGGTTGCTATTAGCAGTAAGTAGTGTTTGCTTTCCAGACTTAATCTTCAAACTTCAGGCCTTCCAGTCTGTCTTCAATAGTTGTTACATTGATGAAGTTTAAGGTGGCTGGGTAAATGAT